GGAGTTGGTGGCACACGCCTTTAATCCCAGCACTCGGGAGGCAGAAGCAGGTGGATCTCTGTGAGTTCGAGGCCAGCCTGGTCTACAGAGCAAGTTCTAGGATAGGTTCCAAAGCCACAGAGAAACCCTGTCTCAAAAAACAAAAAACAAAACAAAACAAAATCTTTGCCATTAATGCATTGGCCACTTGGACTTACTCTGGCACAGTGGACAAATGTTTTGGAAGAGTTCTAATAGGCACCCTGCTCTTGTGTTTTCCTTGCTTCAGGTGCCCATGGGAACAACCTCATTGCTGTCCTAGCCAAGTACATCTACCACAGACATGACCCAGCTTTGCCACGTCTGGCCATCCAGCTGCTGAAACGTCTGGCCACGGTAGGATCTATGTAGCAGTTAGAGTAGGGATGCGGGCTTTCTTTGCAGCTCTCCACTACTTTTTTAAAGATCTCCTTGTAGTGCTTGATATGGAACCCAAGACATTATACATGTTAGGGAAGCAGTCTGCCATGAGTTACAGATCTCTATCCTCCTTGAGAACAGTAAGAGCACTGGCTGCTCTTCTAAAGACCTTCCTTAATTCCTGACACTCTCTTGTAGCTTGCATGAACACTAGGTAGACATGTGGTGCACGGACATAAATATAGGCAAAATACCCATATGCACAGAAAATAGAAATAATAAAATAGGAAAAGATTAAAGTATTAGATGCTTTCTTTGTTCTTTACCACAGAACTCCACTGTAAATACTATTGATTGACAAGCTTGTAGCAGTCTGTACTTTCTTTTCTTTTCAAATTTAATGTAATTTTATTACCTCAATTATGTATATGTATGTGTTTGTGTGTGGGTGGGTATGCTTGAGTGCAGATGCCCACTGAGGCTAGAAATGTTGGATCTCCAGGACTGGAATTTCAAGTGAGATGCCTGATGTTGGCTGTAGGAATCAAATTCAGTTCCTTTGTAAGATCAGTACCTGCTCTCAACACTGGAGTCACCTCTCCAACCCCAGTTTTTCTTTTTATTTATTTTTATGTGTATGAGTGTTTTGTTGTGTGTGTGTGTGTGTGTGTGTGTGTGTGTGTGTGTATACTTACTGTGTGCCTGGTGCACAACAAGTATAGTAGAGGATGTTGGATCCCTGGAGCTGGAGTTACAGATGGCTATAAACTATGGTGTGGGTTCTGGTAACCGAACCTGGGTTCTCTGCAAGAAAAGTTGTTCTCGGTTGTTTCTTTGGTTGGTTGGTTGCTTTGTTTTGGTTTTTGAAATTTAGTCTTACTATGTAGTCCAAGCTGGTCTGAAACTCAACATAGCTCTGCCTGTCTCTGCCTGTTGAGTCTGGGATTAGAGGTGTGAACCACCATGCCCAGGTAAGAGCAAGTATTCATAACCACGGAGCTGTCTCTCCAGCCCCTGCACTTCGTACTCTTTTGTTTTTTTAGTTTTTTTGAGACAGGGTTTTTCTGGGTAGCCTTGGCTGTTCTGGGACTACCTAGACTAGGTGGGCCTTGAATTCACAGAGATCTGCCTGCCTCTGCCTCCCAAGTCCTGGGATTAAAGGCATTCGACACCACTGCCAGATGCCCTTTGTATTCTTAACACCAAATTTTATATCTTTACCATGGTAGCATCCATCATCAGTTGCTTTATGTCAGTCTAATAGGTAGACAGATACTTTATGTTTTACTTAATTCAGCTATGAGAAATGTTTAACATCCATGTGTGCTTGTGCACGTGTGCATATGCACACGGATGCACCCCTTTGCAGAGAACAGAGGTCAACTCGGGGAGTCTTCCTCGATCACTGTGCATCTTATTTTTTGAGACAGTCTCACTGAATCTAGAGCTTGTTTGTTGGCTATACTGGCTCATCAGCAAATCCAGTGGTCCTTTGCCTTCTACCTCCCCAGTACTAGGATTAATAGGCTCATCTGCCCAGCCTTTACATGGAGGCTAAGGATCTGAACTCAGGTTTTCATGCTTGTGCAACAAGTTCCTTGCTGACCCGTCTCTCCAGTTTTATTGTCTTCCTTGTTTTTTTTTCTTACATTCTTTTTTCGCTCCAGATATTAAGTTCCTGGAATTCCTCAGTGCTTTTCTGCAGAACTTTGCTGGAGTTTTTTGGGACATAGAGCCCTAAACCAGTATGTTGTGGTCTCCAGGTGGCCCCAATGTCAGTGTATGCTTGCCTGGGCAGTGATGCAGCTGCCATTCGTGATGCCTTCCTGACCCGCCTTCAGAGCAAGATTGAGGACATGCGCATCAAAGTCATGATTCTGGAGTTCCTTACAGTTGCTGTAGAGACGCAGCCAGGTCTCATCGAGCTGTTTCTGAATCTGGAGGTGAAGGATGGCAGCGACGGCTCGAAGGTCAGCTTCTACCTTGGGTGAAACTAGGTGACAGCTTCTTAGAAGTCCAGTTATAGAACTTGAATGCCCACCTGTTTGTCTTGTAGGAATTCAGCCTTGGTGTGTGGAGTTGTCTCCATGTAGTGCTGGAGCTGATTGATTCCCAACAGCAAGATCGATACTGGTGCCCACCCCTCTTGCATCGTGCAGCCATTGCCTTCCTTCATGCCCTGTGGCAAGACCGTAGGGACAGTGCTATGCTTGTCCTTAGAACCAAGTAAGTCTCCTCCATGTGGTATCTGACCTATGAGCTTGACTGTTCTTGTCTATAAAGTAGAAGTAAGTTTGTTATGAGTTCACCAGATTATGCATAGAATACTTAGCATACAGTTCAGTACCAGGGACTGTTACGTGTCTTTTTTTTTCTTTTTTCCTTTTGTTTGTTTGCTTTTTTGGACAGGGTCTTATTGCTTTGGCTAACCTGGAGCTTCCTATGTAGACCTGGCTGGCCTCAGACTAATAGTGACCCTGTAGCCCTCTGCTTCGCAAGTGCAGAGATTAAAGACTTTTACCACCATGTCTGGCTGGGTTTTTTGTTTTTAAGCAATGAAAAAAAAAATAAAGGTTTTTGTTTGTTTTTTTCTTAAAATGTTGTGTATGTTGCAAACATATCTGATAGTTGTATGTAGGAGCTACATACTTGTATGTAGGAGGACAACTTCTACAGTGTGGGTCCCAGGGATTGAGCTCAGATCATCAGTCTTGGTGACTGGTATCTGTACCTACCAAGTTATCGCTTCAGCCCCAGTTGCACCTCTTAAGTGGAAGATGTAGCTTTATTTATGGACTTTTTACACTATGGTTTTTGTTTGTTTGTTTGTTTGTTTTTTGGAGACAGAGTTTCTCTGTGTAGCTTTGGAGCTTGTCCTGGCACTCTCTGTAGACCAGGCTAGCCTCGAACTCATAAGAATCTGCCTGCCTCTGCCTCCAGAGTGCTGGGATTAAAGGCATTCGCCACCACCGCCTGGTGACCTTTTACATTTATATAGTAATCGTTGGCTTGTGAAAAACATTTTAGGGTTGGGACATTAAAGTATGAAAAAATATCAGCAAAGGGAACTAGAGAGAAAGGGGCTATGGGAAAGAAAAAGTCATTTCAACAAGTATTTTCCTTCTAGACCCAAGTTTTGGGAGAATTTAACCAGTCCGCTGTTTGGAACTCTTTCTCCTCCCTCAGAGACATCTGAGGTGAGCCATGGTAGAGGGTAGGACCCTGTCTGGGAGTCCCTGGGGGAGAGGATTGGTCTTGAGTAATGTACAGAATGTTTCACAAGAAGCTCCTTCTGCAGAGCAGTGCCTGCTTTCTGTCCTCTGGGAAACAGTTGTATGCCTGCCCTGGGTGGAAGGCTCTGGTGTCTCCACATTATACACATGGTGTCCTGCCCTGTGGCGGGTGTTCCATTTGCATTCTATAAAGGTGTGTTTACTTGTTTTCTAAGTGTTAGGTCTTTGCTCTTAGTGGCGGTGGGGTGGAGATATGTTACTCCATGTAATTAGTGTGTTTTGCTCTCTCCTCTCCACAGCCCAGCATTCTGGAAACCTGTGCCCTAATCATGAAGATAATATGTTTGGAGATATACTATGTAGTTAAGTGAGTCCATTCCCCTGCAAGGTGGTTTTGTTGGTCTTACTGTTTGTATAGTACTGGGGGTCAAACTCCAGGCCTTTTGTATGCTAATAAGCAAGTGCCCCACCAATGAGCACTGTCTCCAGCACTCTCCCATGAACCTTTCGACAAAATGGATAAGCAAGTGCCCCACCAATGAGCACTGTCTCCAGCACTCTCCCATGAACAAAATGGTGGGGTGGGAGATGGTGGAAATCTATCATTCAATGTATGGTTCCTAAGCAGGGCAGACAAAAGAGATGGTTTGACCGTTTTATGGAGGGCCAGTGAACTGCTCCTGGCCAGTCCATTGATGGCATTTATGGTTGTCGGAGTTAGTGTTCAGTAAATCTGTGCTTGGAATTTGATGGAGAAGGAGATTTTCCTGAAAGGACTTTAGCCTCACCCATTACATTAGAGTTGATCGTAGAGCTAGCTGCCATATGAGCCAGTTTCCTCTGCCTCGCCAAGGGCCTACACTCACCTCATTCCTTCCTACTTTTGAATCCTGACTAGGCTTTGTGTTTCTGGCACCATAGGGGTTCATTAGACCAGTCACTAAAAGATACACTCAAGAAGTTTTCCAGCGAGAAACGGTTTGCCTACTGGTCAGGGTATGTCAAGTCTTTGGCAGTTTACATGGCTGAAACAGAGGGCAGCAGCTGCACGTCCTTGCTGGAGTATCAGATGCTGGTCTCTGCCTGGAGGATGCTTCTCATCATTGCCACCAGTCATGTAAGCACCTCTTGGGCATCTGGCTTTTGCTTTAAGAAGGAGGCAGTGGTGTGCTAAGGTGCCTAGCACATGCAGCTCCTTGGAATGAAATGAATCTGAGTTTGTCCCTGAGAACTAAAATGCCAAGAAATGAGGATGGGTGGGTGCTTGGGGGCTGAGTCATAATAGGACATTCTGGGGAAAGGACAGAGAAGTTCCAAATCCATCAGACTTCCTGAAGGCTTCTCAGCCATGTTGCACCTGGGTAGGTCTGGTGCGGCTCTCATGAGATGTGTAGTTGCCTCTGGTGCTGTGCCTTCTGGACACTGTAGGGGTTTGTGACTTGTCTGCAGCTGTTTGTTTTTATTGGTTCTAGGAAAAGGACAGAGGCCACTGTCTCTTCACTGTATAGTGATTTTTTAAAACTTTTTACTTATTAGTGTGTGCACATGTGTGTGGAGGTCAGAAGACAAATTTGTGGAGTCAGTTCCACCTTTATGTGAGTTCTGGACATTGAACTCAGGTTCGGGCTTGTGCAGTAAGTGCTTTTACTAACTGAGCCATCTCCAATCAGTTTTGAGAGAGAGAGATGGGGAGAGAGAGAGACAGAGAGAAAAGAGAGACAGTGATAGTGCTGGTGTTTCAGTAGGGTTTGCACCATTATTGGCATTCTTCATAGTTTGATATTGTCGTTCTGTCATAGTTGAACTGTTCTTTCCCAGGGCATCTGAGCAATATCTTTACTGATGTACAACCTGACCTTGGCAAATGCCTCCTTGTTCCAAAAATCTTGCACATCTCTCTGACTTGTTCTCCAGTACAGTCTGCCTGTGTGCCTCAAGTTTTAAACCTAGAAAGAATAGATCTGTCCATACCCTTGCTATGATGTAATAACCATAGACCCATGAGTCTTCAGACCTATTGCAAAGCTTGGCCACCTGAGTGTGTGGTGTCCATGTCACTGCCTTTTAGAACCCAACCAAACAGCAGTTCTTTACAACTTAAGAACTTGTTCCTCTGTTGTCCTCTGCCTGCTGGGAAACTGACCTGGTAGACCTTGGTCCCTTCCTCCTTCCCTTCTTCCTCCCTTTTTATCTCCCCTCCCTCCCTCCCTCCCGCCCTCCCTCCCTCCCTTTGGGCACCAGAGCTATAACTGTGAATAGGCAGGGAAGGTCTACTCACATGGAGAGTAGCCTTAAGGGAGGTAAGTTATAAGATTTATAATAGTCACAGATGAAAAATGTAACTTGAGATTGTTACTTTGTTGTAATGGTTAAGAAGGTGCTATGAGGTCAGAGTTGTCAGGGTGGCCTCTCCAAGGTGATGCCCCAGCTTCCTAAGTATATGAAGAAGCCTCAGATAGCAAGAATTTTAGGCAAATGGAACCGCAGGTGCCAAGTCCAGAAGTTGAAAGCACATGGTATGTTCAGGGAGGATGGGAGAGCCAGGTGTGCTTGGCATATGCTAATAGGGAGGCTAAGGTAGAGCATCATGAGTTAGGGACAGCCTACATAACAACATGGTGAACCCAGTCTCAAAAAACTAGAAAGGGAGGTTGTGGGAAGGGCTGGGCTAGAGTGAGCACAGGTGGGGTTGAGGGTCATGTAGGTATGAACTCTGGGAAACCTTTGGAAACTGCTGAGGGGAAGGTTAATCTGGGCTTGATTTTGACCATATCTAAGGCTGGCCCAGAAAACTGCAGGGACTGAAGCTTCATTTTAATCAGGAGCCTGCTGACTTTCCAATTGGAAATTGCCTCATAGGGCCCTGTGTTTCTTGGTTCCTAACGTCTGAGGAATGTCCCAAACATAACCCTTTTCCCATGCCCTTGCAGGCAGACATCATGCACTTGACTGATGTGGCTGTGCGGCGCCAGCTTTTTCTTGATGTGCTTGATGGGACCAAAGCATTAGTAAGTATGTCTGGGAGGGTTCCTTTCCCTTAGGTCACGTAGAGACTTCACGATTGGTGCATAGAGGTTAGGTCAGTACTCAGTAGCCTGGGAGGTGAGACTGCAGTGGGAAAGAGGTGAGAGGTCAGTGCTAGGTGAGGAAGGCACAAGGCCAGAGAAACTCTGAATGTCAGCCAAGAGCTGTGTCTGCATATCAGAAGCCAGACTCCTGACTGGTTTCCTGTTCCTCCTGTCAGCTCCTTGTTTCAACATCAGTGAACTGCCTCCGACTCGGCTCCATGATGTGTACTCTGCTGCTCATCCTCCTTCGGCAGTGGAAGCGGTGAGTGCTGTGATGAGAGGTAGGCCTCGGGCTTCATCTGCCTTAGCAGTGCCTGCCCATACTTCCTGACTGACCTTTCATTTCTTGGAGGGGAGAAGGGGTCTAGATGCTTTCCAGGAAATGGACCAACTTGGCAGACAAGCGCACTGGGGGCAGTCAGTGAGGTGCACTGCTTCCACCTTTGTTCTTTCAGAGAGTTGGGTGCCGTGGATAAAATCCTTGGGCCCTTGACAGAGGTCCTGGAAGGTGTGCTACAGGCAGACCAGCAGCTCATGGAGAAGACCAAGGCCAAGGTGTTCTCTGCCTTTATTACGGTATTACAGATGAAGGAGATGAGAGGTAAGCAGGCAGCTTGGGTTCTGGTTCCTAACATAGGGCTACATATGCTTTCTGAGTCTCAAGGTGTCAGTCTTAGAATTTTTACCCTAGAAAAACATTTATTTCCCTGTCCCTTCCCCTCCCAGAAGTATGACACCCTCCCTCTTAGTACTGAGCTGCCTTTTCAGCCACTGCCTAGGAAGACAGCTTTGGTGTGCAGTGAGTATGGCCTACCCTGTGTGACAGCACCTCTTTCCATCTGTTCTGCAGTAAGTGAGATCCCCCAGTACTCCCAGCTGGTGCTGAATGTCTGTGAGACTCTCCAAGAAGAGGTGATAGCACTGTTTGATCAGACCCGCCACAGCCTGGCATCAGGCAGTGCTGCAGAGGACAAGGACAGCATGGAAACTGATGACTGCCCTCGGCCTCGGCACAAGGACCAGCGTGATGGGGTGAGGGAGTATTAGCAGGTTGTCTGACAGCTGACACCATACTGGCAGCTGTCACTACCGTGGGGGAAAATGGGAAGATGAAGCCTGGTGTCCCCAGAGGTCAGAAGGGCAGTGGATCTCCTGGAGTTAAAGGTGGTTTTGAACCACCACATGGTTGCTGGAAACCAAAGCTGGGTCCTCTGCAAGAGCAACAAGTGCTCTTAGCCTCTCAGCCATCTCTCCAGCCTTACTCTACATCTTCTAAAAATAAGATGTACTGAATGTAAATCATTTTACATTCAGTAAAAATAAGATGTACAGAATGCAAGCCATTTTAAAGTAAGGGAAGGTATTTCATGGTTTTATACTACAAAAAAACATTCCTTTCTTTGTTTTGTAATTTAGTGTTTTGACATGTGTCATGGGAAGGTTCTTTTCTAGTTTTGTCTATTTGGTGTTCAAAGTTCCACCCATAGCTGTGGTACTATTGGCAACTGTTGGCTGCTGGGAAAGGGAAAGTTTTCTTTAAGGGTGTGAATCCTGGTTAGATGACTGCTCCACAGGATGGCTCCACTCTGAAGTATATTTGGAGAGCATAGTTATACTCAATGTGTTTCTTTTTTTAAAGAATAAGACCTTTTCTTTCTTTCTTTTTTTTTTTTTCCAAGATTTTATTTATTGGGCTGGAGAGATGGCTCAGAGGTTAAGAGCACTGGCTGTCCTTCCAGAGGTCCTGAGTTCAGGTCCCAGCAACCACGTGGTGGCTCACAACCAACCATCCCTTATGGGATCTGGTGCCCTCTTCTGGTCTGTAGATACACATGGAAGCAGAATGTTGTATACATAATAAATAAATAAAAATCTTTTTAAAAAAGTCTTCTGCCTGCAAACCATGTGGTTGCTGGGAATTGAGCTCAGGACCCCTGGAAGAGCAAGTCAATACTCTTAACCTGTGAGTCATCTCTCCAGCCCTTCTTTCTTTTTCTTTTTTCTTTCTTTTTTTTCCTCTTTTTTTTTAGATTGATTTATTTGTTATGTATACAGTGTTCGGTCTACATGTATCCCTGCAGGCCAGAAGAGGGTACCAGATCTCATTACAGATGGTTGTGAGCCATCATGTGATTGCTAGAAATTGAATTCAGGAATTCTTGATCTCTGAGCATCTTTCCAGCCCCTCAGTGTGTTTCTTTTTTTGATGTTGGTTTTTGTTTTTTTTGGGGGGTTGCTAGAAATTGAATTCAGGAATTCTTGATCTCTGAGCATCTTTCCAGCACCTCAGTGTGTTTCTTTTTTTGATGTTGGTTTTTGTTTTTTTTTGGGGGGGAGGCGGGGTTGCTTGTTTTCCCCAAGACAGGGTTTCTCTGTGTGCTGGTATTAAAAACGTGTGCCACCACCACCACCTGGCGCTCAATGTTTCTTGTAGGTGTTTTTGTTTTATTTTAAATGGGGCTTCACTATGTAGCCCTGGTGGCCTAAGACTCAAACAGAGATCTCACTGCCTCTGCCTTCCCAAGGCATGTATCACCATGCCTGGTGATTAAGAAAGAACTTTGGGTGGGTAGGGAGGTGGAGGTAGATCTGAGAGAAGTTGAAAGAATAAATATGATCAAAATACATTATAGGAAATTCTCAAATAGTAAAAATGTTGTCGTCCTCGTTAATACAGTGGTAAGTATCCCTGCCTGTCACTCAGGAGACTGGAGTTTGATTCCCCGATGGGGAGACATGCTATCCTTTGGGCTGGAGAGATGGCTCAGAGATTAAGAGCACCGACTGCTCTTAAAGGTCCTGAGTTCAATTCCCAGCAACCACATGGTGGCTCACAACCATCTGTAATGAGATCTGGTGCCCTCCCCTGGCCTGCAGACATACATGCAGGCAGAATACTGTATGCATAATAAATAAATAAATCCTTTTTTTAAAAAAATGTTAAAAGTAAGTATATAACAAACTTGGTACATGACCTAGCTTATTGTAGTTCACTCCCTATGGTGGGATGCCATGCTCAGCTTTAATGCATGGGAGAGGGGCCTGGCCCTGCCTGCCCCAGCTTATTGTGCCAGACTATGTTGACTCCTCATTGGAGCCCTTACCCGTTAGAAGGGCAAACTGAGAGTGGGCTTTGGGTGGGCGGGAGAGATAAGGGGGCTCGGGAGAAGATGTGAGAGGGAGAACTGTGTTTGGAAAGTAAAATGAAAAAGTGTATAAAACCTAAAGTTGGGGATGAACGTGAATACTGTGGTCAGCAAGAGGTTAGGACACCCAGACTGCCAGTGGCAGAAAGGGTTGGGCTTGTCATTCCTAGAGAGATGGGCACAGGAGACTAGTAGGGCAAGAAGCAGGAGTGATATCAGTCACACTCCTGAGAGGAGCATTGGGTAGTGGGGCCCAGGGCTGGCATTCTTCCTCTTCTATTCCTCAACTGCTTTTTTTTCTACCTTTCCCTCTCACTGTCCTTGACTACCAGCAGGTATGTGTCCTGGGACTGCATCTAGCTAAGGAGCTTTGTGAGGTGGATGAGGATGGAGACTCGTGGCTACAGGTGACTCGAAGGCTCCCTATTCTGCCCACGCTCCTCACCACCCTGGAAGTGAGCCTCCGCATGAAGCAGAACCTGCATTTTACTGAGGCTGCACTGCACCTGCTCCTCACCCTGGCTCGCACCCAGCAGGTAGGAGGCTGCTTAGGGTGCAAAAGATACCCTGCTTGTGCTGAGTTGTTCCCATGTTCCCAGAAACCACAGTCTAACTCAGATCTCTTCCTACCATTGGCAAGTCTTTTTAGGTTCCATCTAATTATGGGTTTCTCCTCCAGGGAGCCACAGCAGTGGCTGGAGCTGGCATCACCCAGAGCATCTGTTTGCCCCTCCTGAGTGTGTACCAGCTTAGCAGCAATGGCACAGGACAGGTGAGTGCCACAATCTTGCCGCCTGTAGCTCTCAGGTAACAGGTGCCCTCATGTTGCTTGCTCCTCTTCCCTCGTGTTATCCCAATTCTCTGGTAAAATAAGGTTTCCTGCCCTTGGCACATGACTAATGAAAGGAATGCAGCCAACAGAAGTACCCAAGTGTATGCTTAGTGTGAACCTGATGCCAGGCCATTAGTCTGGACAGTTGTTGTCTCTTCAGAAGTCAATGTGTTACTTCGTTTGTGTACGTGTACGTGTGCGTCCATGTCCTGTCCTCCTCGCCACCCCCCTTCAGGGACCTCAGTTGTGTCAGGAGTCATCTTTACAGTACCTCCTGTCTGAATTGGGTTGTTTTGTTTTGGGTTTTGGGTATTTGTTTGCTTTTTGTTTTTCAAGACAGGGTTTCTCTGTGTAGCTTTGGAGCCTATTGTGATACTCTGTAGACCAGGCTGGCCTCGAACTCAAGAGATCCGTCTGCCTCTGCCTCCTGAGTGCTAGGATTAAACACATGTGTCACCATTGCCTGGCCTCTTGTCCGAACTGTTGTGTCTGCTAAGTCTGCTTCTTCTAGACAAGCCTCCCTAAATATTGAGGGTCAGAGTAGGGCAGGGACATGGCCAAGCTGACATACTTGGTTAGTGGCAGACGTAGTTTTGGCGCCCTCTGCTCCTGCAGAGTTGGTAGCCTTACCCCTCCTACCTCTGCTCATAGTAGTGGTAACTGTCCACTCCAAGGCATTTTTTCCTTTCCAGTAACTGGGCCACAAGGAGGCTCTGCTGCTCTGAGTGGGTTCCATCCTGTGGCTTCCATCCTGAGCCTGTGTGCCATTTGTTTTAGGCACCCAGCACTTCTCGAAAGTCCCTGGATGCTCCGTCCTGGCCAGGGGTCTACCGCCTGTCCATGTCCTTGATGGAGCGGTTGCTCAAGACTCTACGCTACAATTTCCTGACTGAGGCTCTAGACTTTGTGGGTGTCCATCAGGAACGGACCTTACAGGTAAGGAGCTGCCTGTCTCACAGAAAGGGACACCTGGAGCCACTTGGGGCAGGTGACTGTAGGACTTGGGGTATCAATGCCCTCATCTTTGAGATGCTGGAAGAAATCTGACTGAGTCACCCGGCTGAGAGGAAGCCTTCATTGTAGTGCCAGCCACTTCAGCATATGTGGGCCCAGGACCTGATTTCCATAGGTAGGTAGCCATGGTGTGCCAGGCCCCTGAGCATTCTCTGTTGTCCTACCTTCAGTGTCTTAATGCAGTGAGGACGGTACAGAGTCTGGCGTGCCTGGAGGAAGCAGATCACACTGTGGGCTTCATCCTACAACTGTCCCACTTCAGGAAGGAGTGGCACTTCCACCTGCCTCAGCTTATGCGTGATGTTCAGGTGGGCCTAGAACACTGCGTCTTGGAAAGGTTTGGGGATATGATGGGAGCAGTGAGCCAGTGACTGCAGGCTGTTTCTGAATGTGAATTTCTTGCTTCAGGACACAGGTTTGACTCAGGCTGCTTACTTAGGCTGGTTCTTCCCTTCACAGTGAAGTGAGGCTGGATAGGTTGAGAACTTGGGCTCTATGAGGGAGACTTAGATTCAAAACCCTCAGAAGGCCTGAAGCTGGAGGAGCCCATGGGCCTTGGAAGCATCAGGTTGCTGCCTGCCATGGGCTACTGTCTATATGCCCTTGGCCAGGTCACATTCCCTCTGTTCTTCTGCAATGTAGAAACAGTAATTCCCATCTTGTTGATTTGAGAACTGAGTAATGTCAGAAATGCAGCTGAAGTATTCTAGGCCTGAGCCCTGCTAGTGGCTGTTAAGGTAGAGCATCAGTCAGTGAGAGGAAAGGGATGCACCTGGTATCCTGGAGAGAGAACTGTTTGTGGAGTTGCCCCATGAGTTTTTTTCCCTGTCCCTCCTATGTCCCAGGTGAACCTGGGTTACCTGTGCCAGGCCTGTACCTCCCTCCTACACAGCCGCAAGATGCTGCAGCACTACCTACAGGTAACCACAGCCCCTCGCCTGTTACTGCTGGCAGTGCCACTCTTGATCTCCCGTGACTTACGTTCATTTCTTCACTCGCCGCAGAACAAAAATGGAGATGGCCTCCCCTCAGCCGTCACTCCTCGAGTTCATCGGCCAGCCACTACCACCACCACCACCACCACCACCACCACCACAGTTCTTGCTGTCCCATCTGCCTGCTCCTCCAAGCAACCTGTTGCTGACACTGAGGCCTCAGAGCAGCGAGCCTTACACACAGTCCAGTATGGCCTTCTCAAGATTCTCAGCAGGACCCTGGCAGCCCTGCGCCACTTTACTCCAGATGTCTGCCAGATCCTGCTGGACCAGGTACTAACTAGCACCTCATACATAACATTAGGTTCTCTACAACTGACCTTGAACTTGAGCTCTGCAGTACACTATGCTGTATTCTGGAGAGCTCCCAGCAAGTTCCAGAGTGCTTTTTTCTGTCTTTCAGTCCTTGGATCTCGCTGAATACAACTTCCTGTTTGCCCTAAGTTTCACCACTCCCACTTTTGACTCTGAAGTAGCCCCCTCTTTTGGAACCCTGTTGGCCACAGTGAACGTGGCCCTCAACATGCTTGGAGAGGTAGGGCCCCCAACCCCAATAGCTTTCTACTTGGTGTGTCACTTCTGAGTAATATGGGACATATCCAGCCCCTGGAGCCTAGGCCCCTTTCTACAGTGGCATGCCAGCAGTTTCCATAGTACCTCTGAGGTACTAGGAAGACCTTAACTTGCCACTGTTACTGTTAGTTTGATTTTTGTATTGCTTGCTTCTATTCCTCTAGCTGGACAAGAAAAAAGAATCCCTTACCCAGGCTGTGGGACTCAGCACACAAGCAGAAGGAACCCGAACATTAAAGTAAGACCTGAGTCTTAAGGACCTAAGGCTGTTGTGGGCTGCCGATCTCTGGGCTGTGTGGTTCACCTGTGCTTGTGAGGTACTCTCTCACACCTGCCTCTCCAGGTCCCTCTTGATGTTCACCATGGAGAACTGCTTCTACCTGCTCATCTCCCAGGCAGTCCGCTACCTCAGGGATCCGGCTGTGCACCCCCGGGACAAGCAGCGGATGAAGCAGGAACTGAGTTCAGAGCTGGTATAGATCTTGGGCTGGCCAGCAGGGAAAGCTGTTTGGGTGCTGCCTGCCCTTTGGGGTCAAGAACAGTGCCCCTGGGCCTAATTTAGCTGCTGCTTTTCTCATAGAGCACGCTGCTTTCCAGCCTCTCACGTTACTTCAGAAGAGGAACCCCTAGCTCCCCTGCTGCTGGAGTCCTGCCCTCACCGCAAGGCAAGGCCACCTCTCTCTCCAAAGCCAGCCCAGAATCTCAGGAGCCCCTGATCCAACTTGTGCACGCCTTTGTTCGGCATGTGCAGAGATAGGGAGTGGAGTGCTGTCTACCTGCTGCTCCCTACCAACCTGCACTGCAGCCTGGGCAGAGGGTGCTGCCCCCACAGAGCCAGCCACAGAGCAAGCAGCTCCCTTCGTCCTCTTCCTGCCCACCCGCTGACATTATTTTTGTAATAGATCAAGAGGTCAACAGCATGGGCAGGGAGCCACGGGTCTGGTGCTCAGGCTCTTTACAATATCCCCAAGGTGGCCCTTTTCCTTAGAGCATTCCCATGGCATGTCACCAGCCAGGGAGGCCCTGGGTGCTGGCAGCACAGGAGAAGCCTGTGTGTAGTGAGGATTTTCCATGATCTGTTCTTGCAGGGTTTTGATTTTTTTTTTTCTTTTTTGTTTATTTGTTTGTTTTCCTTTTTTTTTTTTTTTTTTTTTTTTGGTAATACTGTGGTCTATTTATACAAATATTAAAGTACTGTTTATAGATTGGGCCTTCAGAGCCTGGGTCACACGGCAGCTCTCAGAAGCCCAAGACATGAGGGGGTAGCCTGGAGATGGCAAGACTGCTGTTGATGGCTGACTAACTAGTACCTATTTAGTCCTGGATAGACTGTCAGGACAGGCTAGCGAGGGAGGCTCTGGGTCTCCTTCACACTTACCCCAGGTGCAACTTTAGTTTATAGCTGGGACCACCTAAAATAAAACATGGCCACATTGGGTGTTCCCAGAATCAGGCTAATATAGGCTTAAGTGCCTGCCTGCTACTTGCAAACTAGTACCTTGAAGAGGTAGGTGACTGATGTCTTATCCCTCATAGCTCCAGGCTGAGCCCACAGCTATTGGCTACTGAAGCTTCTCTATTGGCAGGCAAACCATTGTAGTCCAGTGGGTTCCAATTTAGGGAAGTTTTCCTTAGACACAAAATATTGTGCAGCTTCATGTATGGAACCCTGGGAATTTGGGCGGCTATATGGACTTTTCCTCTGGTCTGTACTCTGGGAATAAGCTTGTGCCATGGCTCCATGAAAACCCTACCCAGAGAAGGGAGACAGTGAAGTCTAACCATCACACTTTCAGGGCCATTCATGCACTCGAGACCCTGACAAGAGCCCAGGCAATTTGCACACAAACAATTTATTTGCCAGAGAGCAAGCAGACAGGCAGAAGAAAGAATGCCAGTTAGAAATTGCATGAGTGATGGCTGCAGCCACTGCACTCAGCCAGAGCTGTGATAGAAGGAGGGGAGGACAGCACCCAGTGCTGCTGCTCTGGCCAACACTTCTGGTCCCCTGCCAGACTGTCCAGTCCCTGACGGTTAGCCCTGTTTACTGCTGTCCCCCTCAAACTTCCACAGTCAGAGCTTCCCCAGCATATTGTGGTACCAAATGTTGTATCCCTCCTGCCTTAAGGGAGCTGGGAAACCTGGAGTATGCGGGGATGCAGATCAGAAGCAGGGCTAGCAGAGGGGCCTGGAGCCATTCTGTTGTGTAGGTCCTTCATAATTGGGTGACAGAGCCACAGCCAGAACAGGGTTAGCTCCCCTATCCTAAAAAGGTATGTCTCCAGCAGACAAGGTAAGTGGCAGGGCCTGGAAAGGGGCTGCTTAGCTGAGAAGTTCCAAGTAGGTGACAGGGACTTTGCCCTTCTTGTTGCCTCTCTCACCAATGAGCCAGTCAGGGTCCATGCCAGGCAAGCTGTAGACAGTGATGAGCTGTGGGGAGCAGAGAAGGAACTTGTGCCCTGGAAATAGGTGGGAGTGGCCCCAGGACGAAACCCTGTGAGGGATGTCACTACAGGGCCATGTCCTGTTAGGGACTGTTTCTTAAGACCTATAGTCAATCGCCTCCCCTGACTCCCACAGCTCCTCCCCAGGGTCCAGGGATTCCAGAATGACCAGGGTTGTGCAGACCCAATGTTTCTAGTCTCCTGTCTGGAAGCTCCTGTACAACTCTTGCCTGCTTCCTCAGGACCCTGGACCCACCTCATCAGCCAACAGGGCCAGCTCGCTGCTGTCAGCTGCCTCGTAGTCATAGAGCACCCGGGCTTTGCGGGTCCCACTGGCTGGGGGAGCCACCTCCTCTAAACAGAGTGCTGCCTCTTCTGGAGGGGACAAACCAGCCCCTGTGGGTACCACAGGCATGGTGGCTGCAGTGGTGGTGGGTGAAGTGCTGCTCAGGGGTGGGGAGGCAGGTTCTGTAGTGCCCACAAAGGTGCCTGGAAATCTAGAGAAATGAAGGTGTCTTAGCCAGCGCTAACCTGAGAATCCCACATACTCCACAAGACATACCGGAGACACCGGCCAACTCTTAAACACAAGGAGGCCATACCCACCAATAACTTACATAGTGCCCTGGGAGCTGGCAGCACAAAGAGAAAAACAATAAGCTGAGATCTTCCCACCTGCTTTCCCTGCCCACTTCCCCAGCCCAAACACTAGAAACTGCTGAGAGCCCTCCCTCCTCCCCAACTCTTGGCACTGATGGCAGCCCTCTGAGGTACTCAGATGAGGTTCTAGGCAGAGCCTCCAGTCTAATCTCACATGTGGGATTTCCTGAGCTCTGAAGAGAAGGCCCTTGGCCAGAAGCATTGAGCCATTCACTGGATCTAGGAGATAGGGGGTCTCAGAGACCTGGGTCCAGCCACACCTGCCTAGTTGTTTCTGCAGATCCAGCATGTGTCGGTAGCACTGTGCATAGTAGGTTGTCTGAGACTTGACGAATTCATGGAGGCAGCGTAGGTGATTCACCTGGAAGAGGTTGGAACTTCATTTAGCCTCTGGCCTCAGCATAGGCCATCCCCATCCTGTCCCCTACCATACCATACCCCTGGCACCACTGAATGAGGATAGGACACCCAGTCTGTGGGCTGGCTCTGTGGCCCCTGCTTGTGGCGAGACCCTTCAGGACACAAGGGACAAGAGACTCACATGTGTGCTGCTGATACCCTCCAGCAGAAGACGAGTCACTTCTGCCTGCCGGTCAAACTCTGTCTGGGCCACTCGAAGCTCTTGCTCAGCCTAGGTGGGGTAGGCAGTAATGAGCACAGCCCCCATCCTGCACCCCTTCACCATCAGCCTTCCCTGAGGCCTACTGGGAACAATATCACTGTCCTCTAGTTAACACAGATGCCTGGCTTTGCACCTAGAAATGACTTCCAGAGAAGCCAGCGCCAACTTGGGACAGACCTTCCACCACCCATCAGGGTAGGATCTATCAAGAGATGCCTCCTCAGGACCTAATGTGCTGCAGAGGAACTATTTCCCACAGGGGATTTGGTATCACTGACCAGTAACCCCAATAAGTGTAAAGCAAAATCCAGTGCTATAGACACCTTATCTATGGCAGCAGCTAGGCGCACCTCTGTCAACCTCCTAGACCTTGCCTCCCTAGGCCCCAACTCACCTTGTCTACTTCATCGTTCCAAAGCTGTGGAGACCACAAGAGCACCAGTGAGCAGGGAAGGAAAGGTGGGCGTCATCAGTGGAGAGGGAGGGACAGCCAGATGCCAGAACCTTTGCCTGCCCCAGCTCCCAGGGACCCAACCTCTCTGCCCACCCTAGCCTACATAATCTACCCCAGCCTAACCAGGAGCTGAGGCTGGAACAAGGTTTGCTATAAGGGCAGGGAAATGATACCACATCCCATCTAGCATGCTGCATGCAGGGCCAGCCAGCTGGAAAGTCTTGCTTGTACTTTTCCTACAGCCGCCCCCAACTCTAAGTGGGTCTTAGAGACCAAATGTCCCCACCCCACCCTGACTCCTGCTTGGAGGCAGGACAGGACAAGTGACCCTGGGCCAGTCACTGAACCTTTCTGTCCTCCGGCAGAGAAAGGCAGCCTCGGGCCAGAGTCACACTGGGGGCCAGTGGCAAAAGAAAAAAACAGGGCAGCCTCCACCCTCCGGGATGTTTCTCCTTCAACTCGGCCCAGGGAGGGGAGCGGGAAGTGTCATCCAGAGTCTAGGGAAGAAAGATACCCCCTCCCCCCACCATGACTTAGGAGACCCAATTTATGGCCACTTGTGGAAATCTGGCCTAGGATAACACCCAGACACATGGATGGACTGTTGAACAGGGCCAGCAGAGTGTACCGCCCACAGTGGGAAGGAGCATCCTCGTCATTTGCCGTGTTGGAGGGCCATCTAACAGGCCTGAGCATGAACAACAGTTGACATCTCAAAGACCACTGCCAGCCATGAAATGATGAAGAGCACAAATCACACAAAGGCGTTTTCAGAACAGGAGCAGAGGGCCAGATGGCTGGTACAGGACAGTTTCACCCAGGGAACAGGGAGAGAGCTTGCTACAGGAATGGAGGCATGTGGCTGGCCACCCAACACACAGTGTACACAACTACCCAGGCTACTGTAGCAGCCTTACCTGCCTGCCTGTCTCTAACTTGCCTCCCACCTGCTTTCCAGGCTTCCCAGGCCATCTAGCTTGGAAGCTACAAGGGCACTAAGGCCAACAGTTGACTAGTCTAAGACAGGAAGTCCGCCCAGGCAGCCTCTGCACTAACCCCAGCCACCCCCCCCCCCAACAATGAGGTTGTTGGGGCAGTGTCCCCTTGTAGGAGAGAACATAGAATGGAAAGTCCCTTAGGTCCCTAGAGGTGGTGTAGTGTGCTGTCCTAAGGGCAAAACTTCTTCCACCTTGCATAGGAAGAAACCTGCCTGCTGGGCCAGACTGGGACAGAGGGAGCTGTCACTTCCCTGTTCTGAGCTGCCCCTCTGCCTCTCAGGGCAGCCTGCCACATGAGCAGGGCTTTGCCTCACCTTCTGGCTTCTGGTCCTGCGCTGGCAGAGCCAGTGGCAGGAGCTGTAGGCAGAGGAGGCCAGGGTGGGGCAGGGCATAGTGGGAAGGGTGCTTACCGCAGAGGCGCTGGCCGAGAGAATGTAATTACGAGGTCTAGTCTCCTGAAAGTCAGGCACCGTCTGGCGGGGAACAGAGTTCATGGGGGAGGGGGGTCACCCTGGGCCAGGACCAGTGTTGAGGCCAGGAGGTGGCCCCGGAGTCTCCTATATAAGGAGATGCAAGAAACCCTGGCCCCAGGGACAGGAGGACACGGACAGATAAAACATAGACCTGCTCCAACCATCTGAAGATGGGACAGGCTTGGGGGCTCAATGGGTCCAACATGAAGACCCAATGGACAGATGTGCTGAGAGTCCAAGTAAGTCACAGGCTGGGCCTGCCCCACTTTTGGTTTTCAGGCACTCAAAGAGGAACATCAGATCCACAGCCCTCCCCACCGCAGCTTTCTCCAGCTCAGAATTTCACCACAGTCTCTGCCTCTCCATTGAGGCCAGATCCCTCCCCACAAGAGTAGATAGATGGATGGACAGAGTGCTTTTGCCATTTGCAAGAAGCTGCCTCACAGGCCTTGATGCCTGCATCCCCACAAACCAGAGACTGCATAGAGGCCAGCCGATTGCAAAGCCTAAGGGCATGCCCTGGGTTGACCGCACCGCTTGGGCCCTCGGACAGGACAGGTGAACCAGAAGGAAGCAGCACAGCACACGGGACAGGTATACTCACATCTCCCTCACACTGAGCCAAGTTACCCAAAGCAGAACAGAAAGGAACAGAAACAAAGAGTTAGTTAAGTCCACAGCAAGCGAAAGCACGCATAGCCAGCCTGGCGCGACGTGGGCATAGAAGGACTGGAAGGACACTCACAAGCCACCCTCAGGGGTCCTGAGTGGCATATATGTGCCCAGGAGTGAGCTGCTGAGCTTGAGTCTCTAGGGACAACGCTCCTGCCTCACTTGACTCACAGGCTCAAGGTTCTCTGGGCCCCAAGGGGAGAAACAGTTACTCTGCAGTTGACTAGGAAAAGACAGAAGTAAACAAAGTGGGGCTCATCTGCCCAGGTGATTGACAAGTGATCACAATAGCCACAGGTCACTCTCTCCTCATGCGTGCCCTGCACACCTGGTTGACTTGAGAGCCTGTTATGGCTCTTGCCAGAGGCAGTGTAGGTCCCAGTGACCACACTGGCCATGTTGTAGGGAGAACACGAAGATGCATTACGGACAGTGGAGAGCCACCAGGCTCTCCTGGTCAGTCCCACCTTTCCTCAGCTAGAGTCTGAGAAGTACAGAGCGGTTTTCTAACATGCCCTGGGCCTAGGAGTTTCTCAGGACCTGAGGTGGCTGTTAGGTCCCTTACATCCTAAGCAGCCCTCCTAGCCTAGCCCTGTCAAATCAGCTCAGCCTGTTCTTTCCTGGTTGAGCAGGTCCCAGTGAGCTGTAGGGTGAAGGAAGAGCAGGATGGCCTAGGCCCTGCCTGCTCTTCAGACAGTCCCTGCATGGAGCTTGGGGACTGGCCAGCTCTAGTGCTCTCCACAGCTTTCAGCCTAGGGGAGCCTAAGCCCAGGGCACATTGTACCCATGTTCAAGCAGCAGGTGGAGAGTTAGTAGGGGGGCCATGCCCAGACAGGGCCAGGCTGAGCATCCACAGAGGCAGGAGAGGCATGCAAGAATTCCTTCTGATGCCCAGGAGGCTTACAGGCTGCCCAGCCCAGTTAAAGGCACTGTGAGCCTGCCTACTTCATAAATGCCTACCATGATTCCCTGGGGTGGGGACAGAAACATGACCTGACCAGTCAGCAGTCTAGCTCCAGCCAGGGAAAAAGAGCATGCCAAACACCAGGTCCCTGTGTGCCCCATCTCTGGAACCCCAGCAGAGCTGCTTGGGGGCAAGGGGAGAGGCAGGGGCACTTACCGTGGCTTTGGCTTCTGCTGCCTTGGCCTTCTTTAGCCGTGCTTTGCAGGCGTCCAGGTCAAGGCGCCGGTTCTGCAGGAGCCGCCTCTCCTTCTGCAGGGTGGATCATAGCAACAGTGAGACCAGCCCAGACCTGGCCAGAGACCCCTGGGAAACTTGGACCCAGAAATGGACAGTCATTCTTGGTCACTCAGCCTATAGGAGCCACCTCTGGAGAGGTCCAGGTTCCCTGCCTGGGATGACAACCTGTGCACAGAGTTCAGAGGAGTGGTTCCAGACTCCTCACCGAAATCGTTTTCCAGTCCCCTTCCAGGAAGTTGCGCAAGGGAGTGAGGAAGCTGAGGGAGGCAGTGTGGATGAAGTCCCGCTCTGCTGCTCCCAGACGCTTCTCAGCTTCTGACACCTTGATTAGTGTTTTCCCTGGGGAGACAGAGTTGTAGGGTGAGGGAGGGACAGGACTCAAGCCACTCTGCCCCCAGGAAGTCTGCCAGGCAAGTGCAGTCGACCTACAGAGTTACCAGCCTGATAGATGGACATCCATCATGAATCACTGTAGCCCTAAAAAGATGGACAGGAGCTCCTGGGGCCTAGCAGGCAGGGGATGAGGCCTAGTGTCTCAAGAACAAACAGAAGGATTGGGAGTTTGACAAATCTCCCCCAGAAGTCAAGGACATCAGCTTACAGAGTCTGGGAATTGATCGAAGGCACAGAAACAAATGGAGAGGCATTTTCTGAAGAACAATGAAGGGCATTATTATGGGGATGTGCCATCTCTTCCCGGCGAGTGGCTCTCTACCCCAGGTGACATGGTCACTGCCTGTGCAGCTGCTGTCAAGGGTGACTCGAGAGAGACCGGCACACAGGTGACACTACTGACAACAGTAGCCAACCTGTAGCTGGGGGCCTGGTAGAAAGAGCCCCACCCCTGCCAGAATTTAACACAATCCAGAAAACCTCCCAGCAAGCACGCCTGTAGCATGTCTGGGACAGGCTGGAAAGCACACCAGTTAACTTCCCACCCTGGGATGAACAGAAAGCCATGTACCCATGAGGCAAAAGCTAGCTAGACTTGTAACCTGCTCAATCTTTAGATGGGTTTCCCAATTCACATACACACTGACTGATAGTCTCAGTGGCTGAAGATATTTAAAACAACTACTGACCAATATTGGCTGACATGTACTGACCCCCGGACAGTTCTTGGGAAGCTAGTTTGAAATAAGAAGAGTAAGCTGGGAATGGTGGGCAGGACCATTATCTCATCTGCTGGGAGGCTGAGACTGGAAAATCCAGAATTAGAGGCTGTTTTGAGCAAATCAATAAGACATTGTTTCAAAAGGAAAAAAAAAAAGTGGGGATAAGGATCTGGGATGTAGCTTAGTGGTAAAGTACTTGTTGAGCACACACGGGCCCAGGATTAAATACTCAGTACTGACAAAAAAAAAAAAAAAAAAGAAGAAGAAAACATAATAGAAAATACCTATAATATAAAAGGAGGCAGTAAAGAAAGACAATTAAGCCAGGCATTAGTGGCATACACTTTTAATCCCAGCACTCTGTGAGTTCGAGGCCAGCCTGGTCTACAGAGCGAGTGCCAGGATAGGCTCCAAAGCTACACAGACAAACCCTGTCTCGAAAAACCAAAAAAATGAAATTAAATTAAATAAATAAATAAAAAGAAAAAAATTACCCAAGACCTAAATGAAAAAAATCTAACCACATCAATAATTACATTAAACATAAATGGACTAAGCACTCTAATGAAAAGGGAATGACTATCTGATTTTTTTAAAAAAAATATTTATTTATTATGTGTACAGTGCTAGGCTTGCATGTATGCCTGTAGGCCAGAAGAGTGCACCAAATCTCATTACAGATGGTCGTGAACCACCATGTGGTTGCTGGGAATTGAACTCAGGACCTTTGGAAGAGCAGGCAGTGCTCTTAACCGCTGAGCCATCTCTCCAGCCCCCTATGATATTTTTTGAACTATCTAAATATTGTCTATACTGATTGCCATTGATTAGAGCCATGCTTGAGATTTTATGATATAATAAACAGGTTAAGAAGAAAAGGGTGCCAGGCAATGGTGGCACACACCTTTAGTCCCAGCACTCTGGAGGCAGAGGCAGGCGGATCTCTGTGAGTTTGAGACCAGCCTGATCTACAAGAGCTAGTTCCAGGACAGCCTCCAAACCCTGTCTCGAAAAACCAAAAAAGGAAGAAGGAAAGGGCAGAAAAGATAACACGCAAATGCTGGCACCAGATCTAAGTAGCCACACAAGTAGCCATAGTCTGTAAGTTACCAGACAAAATGGACTTCCAGGCAAAAAGTTTGACAAAAGACAATGAGTAGCATTTTAATTTTGGTTTTGAGATGGAGTGTTACTCTGTTGGCCAACCTGATCTCAGGCTTCTAGACTTAGATGCTTTCCATACTCAGCCTCTCAAGTGGTGAGAATACAAACTCATACCCCTGCTGACTGCAGTGGTACTGCACAGGGACAATACAGTCAAGCCACGGCTGGGGGATTGCTCAGGGACTGCTGCACAAGCATGGGGACTTGAATTCAGATCCCCAGAACTTTCATAAGAGTCAGTGAAGTGGCATGCATCTATAACCTTTGTTACAGATGGCAGTGGAGACAGGTAGATCCCTGATGTGCACTGGCTGCCAGGGTTAGCAGAGTAAAAGCTACAGTTTCAATGAGAGAGCAGTGGAGGAAGACATCCAAATATGACTTCTGTCCTACACATGCCCATGGACACACACACGCACACGCACACACACCCCCCCACACACACACCCCACACACACACACACACACACACACACACACACCCCAATCCATCAGAAAGATAAAATATGCACCTAATAGGGCTCTAAAATATACACACCAAACACTGACAAACTACAGAGAGAAATAGTGAAAAGAAAAAAACAGGCTGGAAAGTTCCATGCTCTTTCTCAATAACCAGGGTGAGACAGTCAGCAAGCAGACAACACCATCAACAGCCAACCATCCTGAACAATGCTGTGGCCTGCAATGTATGACATAAGATCCTGTCGGGTGAACATAGAACAATCCCCAGATAGGTCATATTCTAGGCCAGGAGTTCCCAACCTCTGGGTTGCCTCAAGTTACCCTTTCACATGGGTCGCCTAAGACCACAGGGAAACACAGATTATGTTACAATTTACAACAACAGCAAAATTACAGTTATGAGGTAGTGACAGAAATAATGTTATGGTTGGGGTCATCACAGCATGAGGAGCTGTATTAAGGGGCCACAGCATTAGGAAAGTTGAGAACCACTGCTCTAGATCATGAAAAAGCCAGGAGCTTTAAAATCCACACAACTGAAGATCAAGTTTGCTACTAGTGGAATATAAAAAGTCACCTGGAAAAATCTTTGGCAATTTCTTTCTCTTCCCTGCCATACCAGGTTTTATGTGTTGCTAGAGATCAAGCCACAGGCATCATCAATTAACTGAGCCAGATCCCTAGGCTGGCAATTTCTTAATACGGGTTAAATATGGGGCTGGAGCAATGGAAAACAGATCAAAAAAACGTTATTGGTTGCCTGAGCTGGGATCTATAAAGGGATGAGGTGAGGGTTTTTGTTTTTTTTTTAAATTGGTCTATGGAAATGTTTGTACAACTCTAAATTCACTGGAGTATATAAATCAGCTATATGTTATAGCATGTAAGGTATATTTGAATAAAATTCTGAAATGAAGAAGAGAGAATGAGGTGTGCCAGCATGAACACTGATCTGCAAGACAATGGCTAATTATGAGCTGGAGAGATGACTCAGCAGTTAAGATCACCAGATACTCTTCAGAGGACCAATGTGCAGTTCCCAGCACCATGTCAGGAAGTTCACATTACCTGTAACACCAGCTCCAGGGGATCTGACATCCCCTTCTGGCACACAGGTGGTGTGATACATATATGCGGGCAAAACACCCATACATACAAAAATAAATAAATCTTTTTTAAAAGTTAGGTTGTGGATACAAAAGATCCCATTGAAAAGGTCATATCAAGTCAGGCAGTAGTGGTGCACACCTTTAATCCCAGTACTCAGGTGGCAGAGGCAGGTGGATCTCTGTGAGTTCCAGGACAGCCTGGTCTAGAGAGTGAGTTCCAGGACAGGCTCCAAAGCTACACAGAGAAACACTGTCTCACAAAAAGAAAAGCATATATGAGAAGAAAATGTAGTATATTTACACAATGGAATATTACTTGGTGGTTAAAAAAAAAATGTGACAGTGGGCTGGAGAGATGGCTCAGCGGTTAAGAGCACTGACTGTTCTTCCAGAGGTCCTGAGTTCAATTCACAGCAACGACATGGTGGCTCACGACCATCTGTAATGAGATTTGATTTCTTCCAGAGGTCCTGAGTTCAATTCACAGCAACCACATGGTGGCTCACGACCATCTGTAATGAGCCCCCTTCTGACTGCAGGCATACATGCAGGCCGAACACTGTACACATAATAAATAAATAAATATTTAAAAAAAAATGACATTTTGCCAGGCGGTGGTGGCACAATCCACCTTTAATGCCTTTAATCCCAGCACTCAGGATGAAGAGGCAGGTTGATCTCTGTGAGTTCCAGGTCAGCCTGGTCTACAGAGCGAGTTCCAGGAGAGCCAGGGCTGTTACACAGAGAAACCCTAATCTCAAAAAATCAAAACAAAACAAACAAACAAAAACCCAATGACATCTTGAAATTTGCAGGCATATGAATAGAACTAGGAAGAAAACTATCCTGAGTGAAGTAATCCAAACCTAGAAAGACAAGCATGCTATATACTCACTCATAAGTAGATATTAGACATAAAGAAAAGGGTAGCCAGACTACAATCCATAACCCCTGAGAAGCTAGGTAACTAGGAGGACCCTAAGAGAGACATGTACGGATCTCCCTGAGAAGAGGAAATAGAGGAGCTCTCCTGAGTATATGGTGGGCGGGCTAAGAGGAGGAGAGAGGAGGACATGAGGGAATGGATGGTTGAGTTTGGAGATGGACAGAGAGGTAGAGTAAGGAAAGAGAAATCTTGATAGAGGTAACTAATTTGGGGTTAGGGAGAAATCTCGTGCTAGGGAAACTCCCAGGAATCCATAAGGATGACCCCAGCTAGCAATAGTGGAGACAGTGCCTAAACAGGCATTCCCCTAATTGATGACTACCTGTCATCACAGAACCTTCACCCAGTAACCGATGGAAGCTGACACAGAGATCCACAGCTAAGCACTGGGTCAAGCTCCCAGAGTCCAGTTGAAGAGAAGGAGGAGGGATTATATGAGCAAAGGGGTCAAGCTCATGATGGGGAAATCCACAGACAGCTGCCTGGAGCTAGTGACTCTGGACTGACAGCAGGGGAACCTGCATAGGACAGAACTAGGCCCTATGAATATGGGTGACAGTTCTATGATTTGAGCAGTCTGTGGGGCCACTGGCAGTGGGACCAGGAATTTATCCCTAGTGCTTGAACTGACCTTTTTGGAGCCTATTCCCTATGGAGGGATACTTTGCTCAGCCTGGATACAGGGGGAGGGGCTTGGTCCTGCCTCAACTTGATATGCCAGACTTTGTTAACTCCCCATGGGAGTCCTTACCCTTCCTAAGCGGATGGAGTATGGGTTGGGGGAAGATGAAGGGGAGAGTGGGAGGAGAGGAAGGAGGTAGAACTATGGTTGGTATGTAAAATTTTAAAAAACAAAACTACGCCAGGCGTTGGTGGCGCACGCCTTTAATCCCAGCACTCGGGAGGCAGAGGCAGGTGGGTCTCTGTGAGTTTGAGACCAGCCTGGTCTACAGAGCTAGTTCCAGGATAGGCTCCAAAATTACACAGAGAAACCCTGTCTCGAAAAATCAAAATAAATAAATAAATAAATAAAATTATTAAAAAAATCCCCAAAAAACAAAACTACCAACTTTTAAATAAAAAAAGAAAGAAAGGAAAAGCAGCTATCAGGAGTGGTACAGCTCAGCCAGTGAAGTGCATTGTGTGCACGCATGGGGGCTGAGGTCAGTTCCCAGAGCACATGGAGACAGCAGGCATGGCGACACCGACTGCAATCTCAGTGTTCAGGAGGCGGAGACAAGGTGGACCCGAGGCTTGATGACCAGCCAGCCTAGCCTCATCAGCGAGAGGGACCTTGTCTCCTGGAACAAGGTGAAAGATGCCTACGGTTGGGCCTCTGCCCCCCCCACCAAGCACATACAAGCACCTCCTGCACAACCTAGGGCTGGAGTGTAGGTCAGTGCTAGAGTGCTTGCCAAGCATACACAGGGCCCAAGGTCCCAACTCCAGTACCACAGAAACAACACACATACATACACACCACACACACCACATATACACATACATACCATACACATACTACATCCCACATACATCACACATACCATACACACACCACACCATGCGCACACTCGCACACCCCACACACATCACATACAGTTATTACACATAAATACACCACACACATATATACACACTCTACAGACACACCACACCACACACACCACATACTATACATAAACCACACACTCATTCATATACTACACACACACACTATACATCACACACACCTCACATAATACACACACACACCTCACACAGTACACACACACACCTCACATAATACACACACACACCTCACACAGTACACACACACACCTCACATAGTACACACACACACACACCTCACATTGTACACACACACACCTCATATAGTACATACACACACACACACCTCACACACACACACACACACACCTCACACAGTACACACACACACCTCACATAGCACACACACACACACATCACACAGTACACACACACCTCACACAGTACACACACACACACCTCACACACACACACACACACCTCACACAGTACACACACACACACACACACACACACACACACTTAAACTGGTTAAGGGAGGGTTCCTTCTTTTATTCTCATCTACATTCATGAAAGATCTTACATTCAGAACAAACTCAGGTTATCTCTTTTGTTGTTGTTTTTCCAAACAGGGTTTCTCTGTGTAGCTTTGGAGCCTGTCCTGGAACTCTCTCTGTAGGCCAGGCTGGCTTCGAACTCAGGGATCTGCCTGCTTCTGCCTCCCTGGTGCTGGGATTAAAAGCGTGCATCACCACCGCCCCACTACCTCTATCATTTTTTAAACAGGAGGTAGTTGGGGCCTACACCCTCAATCCCAGCATTCAGGGGACAAAGCCAGGTGGAGCTCTGTGATTTTAAGGTCAGCCTTAAATAGCAAAACCTAGTCCAAAATAAAAAGACAGAGAAAAGGGAGATGCGGGGGGATATGGGGGCCAGAGACAGCCCCTGGCTCTATGGTCTGCTCACCATAGGGGGTACTGGGCCCCAGCTCGCTGGCTGCTTCGGCCATGTACTGAGCCAGCAGCTCCCCATTGGTGACCCTCGAGGGCACCTTTCTGTCCAGCTTCTCATACAGGAACTCTTCCACTCGAGCACCTGTAGGGAGACAGCAGCCAAAACCACAGGGCTCTCTAATCTAAGCCAAAAAAGACAGCTACAGTGACAGAGCAGACCCTGGCCAGCCTCCCACCCCCCACTCAGCATCCATACTGAAGACTTCATTTCTGACACCCACATCCACCCTGAGACCAGAGAGGATGCCAGAGCTCAAAGACGCCAAAGTGCAGTCCCACAAGCCCTGAAGTCAGCACCTCCCATGTCTCCCCCATTTAAACAGGATTTACAGTGTGTAACACGTGTTTGAACCACCGGGCCTTGGCCTTGGTCCCGGGCCTCTTTGGACACTTCAGGGACACTGCAGGTTTACAGGTGACATGCAGATTGCCTCCAAGCTCCTGGGACTTCTCCTGCATTCAGCTGCCCTGCGTGACTTTGGTCAAGCCCTTTCCCACCTCTGGCAGGGAGCCCAGGCTGGCATTTGTAGCTTGCATGCCTCTTTCCCCGCATGCTCCACAATTCAGGCTTTCAGCTCTGTGCGAGCCTGGCCTTTCCTCTGCTCAGAGGGCGTTTTAGAGCCTTGCACCCAAGGCCCTGAGCTGGACCGGGTGCCCACCTGCCTCCTGCCCCGCACCCACTCACTGGGGTTGGGCTGCAGCAGCACCTCAGTCTGCCTCAGGATCCGCTCTGTCCAGTTCTTGGTGCTGTCTGCCCGAGCCAGGAGGTTTTCAAAGTGAGCGTCAAGCTCAGTCTTCTCTGCTTGGCCGAATTTCTCCTCTGTGAACTGAAAAGGAAGTGGCAGGAGAGGTCCCAGGGTCAAAAACTTTTGGAGGGTGGCCTCTTACTACCCACCCTGGGCCTCGGTTGCCTCTTTGTAGGGTGAGGAGGGGTGTGTGTGAGGTGGAATCATGGCCCCTGGAAGCTTTAGAGCAGCTCTGTTCCCTCTCTGCACGAAAGCATGTATGCTCCCAGTGAGTAAGAACTCTGAGGAGGTGGCCACCAGAGCTGAGGGAGAAAACTCAGTAGCAAGTCCTTAGGGAACAGAGCGGGCCCAGAGCAAGGCTCTGAAGTACTCCATGGGACGCCAGCAAAAATTCAGGTTCTGAAATCAGAGGGACTGTATTCATATCTCAGTTCACCCGTTGAGTGTGTTGCAGTGAATGGCAGGACCCAGAGCCCCAGTGTGTAACATTGGGAAAGTGGCTTTGCCTCTCTGGGTCTCAGTTTCCCCTGAAAACAGATAGTAAGAACGTTTCCCACAGGCTCTACAGGGTAAAATGGGAAAGGTGTGGATTAGACCTGAGAGGTCTGGCAATTGAACCTGTGCCCAGCAGCCCATGCTGCTGCTGCCGCTGCTGCCGGGAGCCGATGGGCAGTATGTCTAGGGAGGGAGTGTGGGAGGGAGGCTGGCCAAATATTTGGCCTCTGGGTGTGGTAAACAGAGAACATTGCCAGCCCATCAGAGCCAGCTGCTGAGTGTACCCAGGACCTGGGAGGTCACATGGGTTCCCAGTCAGAGCTGGCGAGAGCCATGTGGGCCACCTAGGAATAATCAGAAACTAGTCCAAGTTCTCACCATCTAATCTAGAAAAGCCCAGGAACAGCTATCCCCAAGCACAAGCTTTTCCCAGCCAGGTGACAAGGCTTGCCCAAGGTCATCATCCAACAGGAACAGTGAGACCTGCTACAGGTATACGATCAGGAAGCACTGTGGTTGTGCAGCCTGGGGCACTCAGGCTTCCCATTGCACAGATAGAGCCACTGAGGCTGAGCAAAGCGCTGTCCTGAGGTCAGGGTCTAGGGGGCTGGAGCCCTGCAGAGCCATTGCCTGTGATGAATCATCGGGTTGAGCCAGGAGCCACCAAGTCTCTCAGCAGCCATCAATTATGCAGCATGCCCTGGGCTTCTCCCTGCTTTAAAGCCTCCCCCTCAGCTGCCCTGTCCTGCTCAGCCTCTCCCTGTCTGTCTTCACAGTCCCTGCCCTTGCCACTGTGGTCCTGCTGTGAACCCCACTTTCCAATTGAGGAAAAGGCTCAGAGAGGCAGCGGCATCTCCCAGTGGCCTCAGTTTCTCCCTGGAAAATGGTGAAAACCAATCTCAGAATTTCTGGCCAGCATAAAGTGTGTGCTTAACAGTTTTCTTTTGGGAAATACTGGGTATGGAATCTGGGACCTCAAATATCGTGGACTCTTCTGCTGAGCCATGCCCAGCCCCAGGGTAGTATTAGCTGATGTCATCACTAGTAAAGTCTCCCAGTGGCACTGGTGGTATCACTGGATGTTCGGGGATGCTACCAAGCATATGGGTTCCCAACCAGTTCCTATGCTGCTCGGGCTCTCCTAAGCCCTCAGGCATCCATCCACCCATGCCCACTGCTACCTGCCTGCCTTGGATGAGGGTGAAGCCACAGTAGATGCTTGTACTGTGATTACTGCTAAGAGTCTCAGTGGAGCAGCTACCCACACCCACCCACAGGAATGTTATCCATATTATTCTTTTTTGGGGGGAGGGGGTTCAAGACAGGGTTTCTCTGTGGCTTTGGATTCTGTCCTGGAACTCGCTCTTGTAGACCAGGTTGGTCTCGAACTCACAGAGATCCGCCTGCCTCTACCTCCCCAGTATGGGGATTAAAGGCGTGTGCCACCACTGCCCGGCTATCCGTATTAATCTAATGTGCTGTGTCTGGCAAGCTTTCTTCACCTCCCTGCCCTGATGGGGCACCTGCACCTGCTTCAAAGACTCCAGCTGACTGACATTTCAGACACAACTCTGGGGCCCATGGTGAGGGACACCACCCCAAAAATCACTCTTGTAGAAGGGATCTTGCTCTTAAGTTTTGAGCTGGGGAGGCCTTGTCCCCTATGGGATGGGGGTAGGTGAATCCCTCAAAACTGTCCCTGGGCCACACAGGGGCTGAGTGCTTACTCATCATGTCCTGTTGCCTTGCACAGTAACACTGACCCATAGGAGCAGCCCATATACTGGTAATTAAGAATACCACCATCTTTCCTGATGACTACCATGGCAGACGCCTCTCTGCCTCTCTAGGTCACACTGCAGGCACCTTCCTCCTCTGCTACCTAGTCCCTTTCCTGTGAAAGGGAAGGGGATCATGCCTGAACCAGTCCAAGGCAGTTTCCAGCAAGATGGCATCAGCAGGAGGGTGGGTGTGTGGAGCATAGAAAGCCTCTATTTATAACATGCTCAGCTCCCTCCTCCACCCCAGCCTGGGCCTGGGCACTAGCTCTGGTTCAAGTGTGAGTGAGACCCTGTGGGCCTACCCCCATCAGGCAGAGCCAGGAAGCCCAAGCCACCACTCTCCCAGCCCTTTCTGTGGGCCTGGCCAGGTCAGGTGGCAGGACCCAGCAGATCAGGTTCTTCACAGATCTGTGAGATAGTGTGGTTGCCATGCCAACGCTGGGACAGGCTTTCCCCTCCTGCAGAGACTGGGGCTCTGAGGGCCTGGCATCCTCTCTAGTGCTGGGGTTACCCACCAAGCTTGGAACTGGGAGTGGGAATAGCAATCCTCACTGGGGCAGTCAGTCTCATGGGAACCCTGTGCTTTCTAGTAAACATGGCCACATGGGCCTCTGAGGGGGAGAGGGGCTGTATCCAGCAGAGTCAACAAGTACCACAAGGGCAGCATATAGAACCTGTTCCTGGGGTACAGAGATGGGCCAGGCCAGGGGTACGGAAGCCCCAGGAATCCCACATCCACCCTCAGAGCAGGCAAGGCCTCCAACCTGAGCCTTAGACCTGCTTTACAGAAGGGCACAGTAAGGCTGGATGACTGTGCAAGGTCACATGCTGCACAGGTGTGGTTTAACCAGGGCAACCGCAGTTAGAGCCATCCCAGGAGAGAGGGCTACTCCTCCCATTTCTCAGGCTGAGAAACAGAGGCCCAGTGAGGTAAAGGCCCTGTCCCCAAGGTCACAAGAGAAGCATTCACAACCAAAAACTACTCCAGCCCTTGACTATGATATCAATTCGCCTCAGTTTCTCTTTCTGATCCCAAGTGTATAGGACTTGCTCCAATATAAGCATTGACGACCTGGACAGAACCCAAAGAGGGCACTTAGCCAGATTCTAGCCTTCTCGCCATCCTTTAGGCCTGGGAAGGAAAAGGAAACAGGCCTCCCGCAGAACAGAAAGGAAATTACTCCTGGCTTCCGGCCTGATTATCCAAGCGTGTGAAAGGGACTGAGTGGAACCGGAGCACCAACCTGCCCATTGTACGGGTATGGAGACTGAGGCCCGCAGAAGGGACTGGGACCTTTGTGTGTGGCCCTGGGCCTGCCAGCCAGGACTCGCTGGGCTAGGGCAGGGAAGTGGGAACCACCCAGTGGTCATTCATCATCCAAGCTGTGCAGGCACCAGGGCAGTGGGCAAACCTATCCTTGCAAACCCGCACTCCCGGGTGCCCAGGCACGGAAGCCCAGGCCCTAACCCCAGCCCATCAGGGAGCTGAAGCTGACCCCGCTGGGCACTGCTCTGGCTTGCTCAGGGATAGGGGATCAGGGGCCCCAGCGGTCTGTCCCCAGCGCGCACCGCCGCAGGGAAGGGGTTCCTGCTGCAGGGTGCTCGGGGCGCGCTCCACATCCGGGCCCCGCG